GGAGGAAGAAGTATCTTTCTGCCATCCACGGTCAGTCAGACCTGAGTGTTCAGACAAACATCTGTGATGCATTGGACAGAACAGACTTTTCCTAGACATTGAAGGGACAGGAGCTGGACTATTGTGAGAGGTGACAGTGAGACACTGATAGCAGCAGAAACAGGATTCTAGGCAAGTTTGTCCAACAGACAGGAAGGGAGAAAAGCAGCACTAACTAATTAGCTTTGACTTCATTAGATCTGCTAATGATCTCAGTGGAGACAGCTCCAGATGCACCTGCCACTACCTCTGAAATGCTTAGTGCTTTATTTCTTGTCCACACAAATTCCTTCAAAGCACAACCATCCAAATTCAAAGGATAAGTTCTTTAGATTTTTTAAGCGGAGACAAGTACTGTATGTGCAAGTCTATGTTCACTTTTTTTTAAACCACAGAAAATCATTGTTCTAACCCCTTATAACTAGCAATATCTCATTGCCATCCCTCAGTGATATATATAAACTGAAATAATTGGAAAAGGGGTGTATAAAATATAAGAATTACTCCATTCAATTAACCTTGAAGCACAAGAAGTTAATAAAGTGACTATATAATGTGGCAGTATCGGTATCGATAAAAGTATCGGTATCGATACCCATCCCTACTGAGAATAGTGGGGGTCGCGGTACGGGAACTCTCAGCTGCACATGCCTGGGGCAGAGTACATCCAGACTTGAGACAAAACTTGCTCGTGTCCAAGTCTAAGTCCGATCGTCAATGTGCGAGTCCGAGTCCATCAGTGCACGAGTCAAACCTTTATCGGATTCCGAGTCCTCGTGTGCGAGAATTCACAAGTCCAAGTCCATCACTGCGCAGGTCTGTGTCGATTTACGAAAATCAGCCCTGGAGTCCGACTCACATCCGAGTGCAGGACTCAATTACTCCAGGTCCTACTGTAAACGCATACATTACTAAACATATATTGAAAACATAACATATATTATACCGTAAATAAGCAATGTATTGAGAAAATTCATTTTTTTCTCATCAACACTTTAGCCTCTTTTTTTTACAATGTTTGTACAGTTTTTATTTTGGGGATGGGCCGGATGCTCTGACCGGTCCACTTCCTGCCCGTGCCTCTGCAACGTCGAAAAATAGACTTGAATCCTATTTTGAGCGGAGCTCAGCGCCGAGACGCTTCTGGGACGCTTCTGTGCCGTAACGCGGCGCATCTGGTGGAATAGCACCCATTGACTAGACTGGCCGCGATCTGTGCGAACGCCGCGGCGCAGCCGTAACACGGCCGTAACGCGACGCAGACGGACCCGGTGGAATCTAGGGGTTAGCGTTGGTGTGTAGGAATGCTGTGATTAAAACATGTTGTAGGCCAAGTTAGCCTCACAAGGGCTCCCTCGACAAATGGGAATTTGAACCATATCACGGTCACATGACTGCGTGTGACCAGCGCTTAGTTAAAGGCCGCCTCATGTTGGCATGATGTAATTTGGTAATATAATTTCTCACCTGTTAGCAACCGGCATTTTTCAAAGTTTCATAGAAGCTTTGGACATTTAATGGCATATTTTATGTTATGGTACAAAACGTGAAAATCTCTTGTGCTAGTGTTAACAAAATACCTTATTTAAGGCCTCTAACCACAAACGTGTTAAAAAACGTTGACATCGAAACGAGGGGAAGCGGAAATGGTAAAATTCTAACTAATTTTCGGGTTTTAGGACTCATTCCTGCACCACTCTGTTCTTAATATAAAGGTTGGCTGCTACATTCTGGCCCCTAATTGTACTGGTGGACAAACAAAGAATGACATTTTTTTTCAGGATATAAACAGCCATGTAACGTCCGTTCAAATTCAAAATCCATCAAAACTTCCATTTCCGAGAGATCAATACAATTGTGTAACTGTGGGCTGTGTAGGTGTGTGTTGGTGGGCATAGTGAGTCTCACACAGGGTCCTCCAGCAGCAGACATATCTTTGTGATAGATCTGTGAAGATTGCTATTCTGGGTTTTCACTTGAACTCGTATAACCTGACCTCTGGAGTCGGGCAAATGGGCTACACGGAAACTAATCCATTCTCTAATGCGAATGTTGTGTAACAGTCCTGTGAGAAACTATGTTAAAACAAAGCACATATTTCTAAATGTTTTTTCCTCAAACCCAATCAATATAAAGGCAGTAACGAACATGATAGAAAAGATTTGATGAGTCATTAGAGCCACACACACCCTAACATGAATTAGCAGAATGAGAGGTGGCCTCTCCCCGGTGAGAGCCGCTCGCTCCCTTCTTGTGTTTCCACAGAAACAACCATGCATTAATGCTCCCTCCACAACTATCACACTGTCTGCAAACCTCCCAACTTTAAAGCCCTAATCCCTATCAAAAAACCCTAAGACTTATATTACAGCTTTATAATAATGAACTATGGCATTATGCTTCTCTGTCATGTTATTCTGCCAGAATAAAGCTGCTGTGAATATACTGTGCAGACTTTTAGAGCTAAAACCTCAAGCACTCGCTGTAAGGCTCCGGGAGCAGCAATAAAAGCAGACTATTACGCTCATAAAGCATGTTTTCCCAGCATCACGGAGAATGATGTTGTTGTCGGTCATTATATTCCGCTGTAATATCCACTAGATTCAACTCACTGAGGGAAATACGAGCAGAAAAAGCTCAGGGTGCTCAGACGCGCAGCTTTCTCTAGAGTTATTATTTATTTATATTCTTGTGATACCCATTTGCATGAAACCCATTATTTAAGTTAGTATATTATTTGTACTTATAAAACCGCATTGAACCACATACATATAAATGCGTACGAGGCAGATTCTCTGTTTGGGTTTGTTTGAATAATCGTGCTACATGTTGCTTTTAGAATCAGTCCTAAAAGACTCATTATGGCTGAACATTAATGCAGCAATTACAGAGAGGGGGAGACGGCTAATGGACGGGGGGGCTTGAAAGAGACTGTTTTCGAGTCAATGCATTTCCCTGGGTGATTATTCTTCTTGCTTCATATGATATATGAACATCAGCAAGTGAATTACCTTAATACTATCCTTTTTCAGTCCCCCAAACAAGCCAGCACTGGTCATGTTTCTGTGCCGATCTGATCATGAAAATATAAATACTTAACACTCTTATAATGAAAAAGAATGAACCTGATGATTTATGTGTATTTATATTCCATTTTTATATATTTTAATATAAAAATGCTTATTTGTTCCATTGTGGTAATCAAGGGCTGGGCATAATTCTTTTTTTAATCAATATAGGTCTCACAAACAAAACATGTATCGAAATACCAAACAGATCCTGCATTGTAGCATGGCAAAGTGTCTCAGTCTTGTACACTTTGTATATACAGTACAGGATAAAGTTAGTATTTTTCTTCCTTTTCGAAAACATCATATATCAATGTTTCGCACATTTTGCAAATCATTTATGTTATTCACGTTATACTTTTTAAGGCGGATTTTGTCAAAGAGTTACTTTTCGAATCATGGTCACATTGGCTGTTGCTGCACAGAAATTGCCACCCACCATTTTTCCTCTTTCTGCTGCAGACACCAATTTCCCCACAGAGATCATTAAAGTTTATACTGTCTTATCTTTCCAGTAACGAACGGGCGACACGAGCATCTGCGGAGTAAAAGGGCACGCTCAGGGAGCAGCTGCACACGGATACTGCCTCCAACCCTCTAAATATTTAAAGGCTTGTAGGCGGCCAACAATCGGGCCTCACTCCTGAAAATCACATTTCAGGTGACTGTGTTGCTTCTAATTGAATAAGCTGCCGTCATCTCTCCCCTGGAACAAAAATACAGAGGAAAGTGTTCCCTAACAACATTATCTCCACACACAAGTCAATTAGCAAAACTCTGAGAGAGCCTGGAGGAAAAATCAAGAGACGATTCACAGAAACATGTTGACATCGGTGCAGATACAGAGGACGGTGTATGGTTTCGATTCACTTGAACGTTCTCTTTATACCCTTGTGCTTGCCCACAAATTACACATTTGAAACTGCAGATCTAACACCCTCAATCATTTGGTCCATGAGAAGATATTGTAGCTCAATGACTGGTCAGATGTGAGTAATCTGGATGTCAAAATGTGTATTTTAAGAAAATCTGCCTTCAAATCAAAGGAAAAATTACAGAGCACATTCATACTCAACAGGGGATGACACTTTTCCATTTTGGATATTTCACAGGCTTCCATAGTGCCACTGTCTCAGGACAAAAGGTCAACTTGGAAAAAGGTTTTGAATTCAAAAATTCTGGTTATATTTCAGTCCATCAAGGATCTGGAAACACACCAACTCCCCCTCTTGAGGTTCTCAAAGTGGCCCTACTGTGCTCATTTTCAGGTTCATATTAGTATGTTGTGTCTCCATGCTTTAATGTTCAAAAAGCTCTTTCTTTTTCTCATACTGCCTGTGCTGCAGCACCTCTTTTCACCCTCTGTCTGAAACCAGAGCCCAGTCTGCTCAGCGCTAGCCAATAGAAGCGTGAGTGTTACATAGTAATGTCACTAATCAGTGTTAGTCAAATGAAAAGGCTTTATTGTAATTCATAGTAGCTTGAATGTAAACCTCTGCCAACAAGCCATGCACATTGCTTGCTAGATCCTGTGGAAATGGAAATGGAATCAAACATGATCTATACTTTATATTGCTTTATATAATGCAGTATCACATGACACGCCCATAGACAACCATTACTCAAGAAATTGCCAGATTAGCTCTAGTCATTCATCTGTACAGGAAGTCAGTGCACCCCACCACAGGAAGTGTCCCAGGCTCTAGTGAACAAGACGGGTGAATCTTGTTCTTAAGAATGAATACTTTCTATTGTCCTCCATCTTTTGCTTTCACTAGTAATCTCTCATACCTGCTTCCTACCTCATGTTGGCCCCTTTTCTGCTCTCTTTTATCCCGCTTTCCTCTCTTGTTAATATCGTGGCTCCTAAGTCTTCCCATGTTCTCTCTGCAGCTGCCATTGAGGCCTGCCTCGGTCACCTGCTTAAGAGACGAGCGGCTGGATTTCTCCGCAGCGACAAGATCGCCGCCCTCTTCACCAAAGTGGGCAAAATCTATGACACCGCTGGCGAAGTTTGTCGTAAAGTGCAAGAGCAACTCCAACAGCAGTCCGATCTCACCAGGTATGGCAAATGTCCCCTCCCCCTTAATTTTACTTTCAGTTGGTGAGCTCTCAGTAAATGCTGTTAAAGTGACAGTTATGTTTGACATTTAAGTTCCGTTCATTGTTTACTGATGATAAGTTTCCCTTCAGGGACCACACCTGACACCACCATCTGAATTTAATTTCTGCAAATTGAGTTAATCTGCCTTCTTAATTAGAGGAGAAGACCCTCTTCTCTATTACAAGCTGTACTGTAGCTCTAATTAAGACTTATTATGGAATTAGCATCGGCTACAATCAGTGGTAGAAGAAGTACTCAGATTTTAAAAGTAAAAGTCCTGCATTCAGACTTAAGTCTATTTAAGTCTTACTTAAGTTAAAAATATTTGAATCAAAATATACTTCAAGTACTAGAAGTAAAAGCACTTGTGAAGTGTAATGTCCCTTTTCCGTATATATATATATATATATATATTATAATTCTGCATTATTTTTATTGATGCAATAATGTGTATCATCTACACCAGGGGTTTTCAAAGTGTGGGAAGGTGAGCCTCCCCTCAGAGAACATAAGAACAGCCGCGCCCCCTTGAACTGGTAACTTACCAAGCCAAGTCCCTATCGACTTGGCCACCACCGCCCCAATTATATGATTCCTTAGTTGTTACTTGAAACTTGTTTGTTACTTGAAAAACACAGTTTTTATACCTGCAGACGCTTTCCATAAAAGGATTGGCAAGATGGGTGACTTGGTCCATGTGGCTTTCTGTCGTCCATCTTGGTTTAGAGACATGTATCATGCACTTACACTGACTTGGCACTGAGTGGCAGTGTATGGGATGATGCAATATGGTCCTATGTAGTGGCTGATGGTGCAACTATGCAAAAAAAAACAATGCATATACAAGAAAACACCTTTTGAATAGCTGTCCACTGTAGTGACCTCTATGCATGAAAGGGAAATAGTAGAGTTAAAAAAACGATATTGGCTTCCAAAAAAGTAACATGGAAATACTCAAGTTAAGAACAAGTACAACAAAATCATACATGAGTACAGTACTTGAGTAAATGTACTTTATTACATTACACCATTCAGTGTCAGAAGCAGTTTTATGCGAGCTGGACACAATAACAGAAACATATTCAATCCAATCATTTCCCCTTGTGATACATCCTAGTGTATCTTTGTGAAAGCTTACATACCTTTTTCACAGCTGACATTTTGATTCCTCCTTGCAGTTAAAGAACATGGGTAATTAATATCCTTAATGAAGGCTCCGCTCATTTCAGTGTCCCTGTAACCCATGCTACTGATGTGGAAAGTGAGTCACCGCGGGGCCTTGGAATCAGGATTAAATTAAATAGAATTGAGTTTATTTGATATGGACGATTCAATTTAACATGGTTCCAATACCGGGCATGAAACTGACGAACTCTGCTCCACAGAGCAACCGTAGTCCCTATCATAAATTACATTCTACAGCACTTTTCACAGTGCGAAAAAAAGACGTCCCCAGTTGGGCTGTAAACATGTGCAGGGTAATCACACACCTAGATGGTATACAGCTATTGTTCATGTCATTAGCAACACCTGTGCTTTCCTGTTAAAGAAATGTGTTCAGTGAGAAACAATTTACATAGTGTTCAGTTTTGTGTAGCATTACTGTAAGGCATTTGTAATTCACAAAGGCATCACACGGTCTTACCTATATCCATGATTAATGTGTCTGCGGGGCTGAATCCAAAAAGCTTCCTCTCATTACGCCTCAGAGGGTTTAGTGTCATAATCAGCTGTTCAGCACCAATGAGTAGTTTTCTCTATTTTCTTCAACAGTTGCTTAGTGTAAGAGCCATATAGGCGTATGGTAAAAATGTATGTTGGCAAGAGTCTTTGAATTGAGTTAAACAATACAGTTTTTTGTTTTGTGTTGTATGTATCCACGTTTCTGGACCGGCAAAGTTTTATGTTTGATATTGTTAACGACCTAGTTTTATGTCGTAAAGAAGACTCTAGTGAGCCGGTCCAAGAGTTTAAGATGCCGTTATGCCAGTGATATAATTAAAGTCTGCAAGCGTGGAACCAAAACCTTTTTTTTTTTACCGTGCGGGGTAGTGTGATAGTACTTGTGTTTATTTTTACTATATCAAGCTTAGTGTCTTTCAGTCGGTAGTGGACCGCCTTAAAGACACTGGATTTGGAAGCTGTGTTTTACATGAATAAACCCTCAAGACTTACCTGTCACAGGTCTACATTAAAGGTATTTGAACGCTTCGGAACAAGTCAGAACTCGAATTCCTTAGAAGTGTCCTTAGAAAAATGTACTCTGTAGTTCTGGCGGCCTATGTAATGGGGCTTGTTCCCCATGCGAAGGACACTGGTTTGAAATCCAGTCTGAGACGCTTTACGTGTAGCGCTTCATCCCATCTCCCCCCAATAATTTAAAAATAAGATGAGGGCATTAGTGGCAGAGACTTTTATTTATTTTTTGTAATTCCTGGTTTTGTTTGGACTGTCAAGTATTTCATCCATGCATCGATGTAAACATATCCACCTGTTAACCTTCTGTGCTGCTCCTCAACTTTCAAACATTCCACAGTATCCCAATAATCCCTTCTGTATGGACAGATGCAAAATAATGAGTTTAGATCCCCCAAAAATATATTCATGTTGCTTAGCAGATGAAACCCCCCTAAAACCGGATTTAAAACTTGACACACTGCCTTCAAACTCAAACAAATGTTCTGCCCCCCATTTGAATTATTCGTAAACATATATTTATTTAGGCTTTATCAACAGTGTGTATTCCTTGTATACACCATGTCAGTATCTCCATGTTAAAACACACAGATACAGATAAACACAATCTCAGTCAGTTTACTTAAAATGAGCAATCTGTGTTCATACTGTGGTAAGCCTGTGTGTCTGTCTGTCTCTGTCTCTCTGTCTGTCTGTCTGTCTCTGTCTCTCTGTCTGTCTGTCTGTCTGTCTCTGTCTGTCTGTCTGTCTGTCTGTGTCTGTCTGTCTGTCTGTCTCTCTGTCTGTCTGTCTGTCTGTCTGTCTGTACTTGCTTGTGTGTTTGCATATGTATTTCTGTGTGTATTTGTGTGCACACACAGAGTATGACAAACTGCTTTATCATCTGCAGGCACTTAGGTGATAGCCGAGCTGTTTGCAAGCCCATTACTTGTCCATTAGCGTGAGCCACATGGCTACCACATGACTCTTCGGGGCCGCGGAGAGAGGTTTCCAAATGGAGGAGATAAAGCTTTGAGCAACAAGCACACATACACATAAATATACACACAGCACTGATGCCCAAACAATAAAACCCAGACAGGCTGTGCAGCGAGACGTCACTGCAGCATGGCCGCGTCCTATGATGTAAATCAGGAGGTAAAGGTGTTTGGGTACGCCGGGCACTCGTCTCTCCGTCTTCATATCAGCCGCCTACTCCCGTTCATCTGTCACATCTCATTGGCCTTTATTTCCCCAGACACACAACATTAGAGCCTATCATTGTGTATGGATCTGGTTTTCACGAGTCCAACCGCTCCGACAGAATGCCTACATGCATCCATGCACACTTTATAACACACACACACACACACACACGTACGTTCCCACCCTGCCCCCTCTCCCTGTCATCCCAGCTCAGGGCACCATCTCTCATTTACTCTGGTAACCATGGTTACGCGGTTTGCGCCACTGGCGGTGAAAGAGGCAGAGAGTATGATGGGAAACATCACTTCCTCTCCTTCTCAACCTCACACACTGGGCCCTTCTCACTTCGGTTAAATGGAATCCTTGCTTCCCTCACTTGCGTCGTTTCCCTGTGACTAGTCCCTCCCACCAGGGAAGTATGGAGAGATGCAAGGAAACCACGAGAAGCAGGGAAATGAGTTTTAAGAGCAATGGGACGTCCTTTCCTCCGGAGCGTCACGTGAAGCGACGTCCGTTTGTGATGACGCTGCACAGCTGATCGTCTGACAGCAGCCAGCTCTGTCCCCGTTATTTTCACACACCCCCACCTCTGTTAGTACACATTTACTGACACAAACATTTGTTCTTAAAATGTATAAGCGAACAATAGTTTGATTAATATTGATTAGAGTGCACAATAGAAATAAAATAATTGAGAAGAAAAAGAGATATGTTATCTATCAAAACCCAGTTGGATTAACATTCATTGGACTGCACACTTTGTTTGTTTGTTTGGATATGTAGCACATTAACATTTAAATAGCACTTAATGACTGACTGAATGGAAATGACAATAAATGAAAATGTAAAACGAAAAAAGCTATCATGAAAATGTTTCCAATAAATGAAGAAAATGATTTTTGACCACTTTGTTGTTCAGATATATCTCATATTTGTAACTAAATGATACATTACATTACATTGCATTTAGCTGATGCTTTTATCCAAAGCGACTTACAATAAGTGCATTCGACCAGGAAGACACAACCTTGAAGAAAACAGAATCATATAAGTACATCAGGTTTCATAGAGCCAAACATTTCAAGTGCTACTCAACTGGCTATAGATAAGCCAGTCCTTTATTAGTATATAAGTGCTTTGTTAATAGTTCTATCGCTCGAAGTGGAGTCGAAAGAGATGAGTTTTCAGTTTGTAACATTAATTGAAACAAAACACGGTATAGACTGAGAAGTGAGTCCCGTGAGGTTCATGTATTTTCTTCACTCCGCTGGGAAACTGCTCTCATGTCAAGAAGCATCAGATCAGTGCATGCAGTGCCTCGTCCAATCAGTGAGCGATACACAGTAAGGGGGCGGGGCGAGTGTCTGAGGATTTCATCGAAGGATGGTCTGGTGGTTCCTCGGTTATAGCTCCTCCATTATCGCTCCTCGCTCCTCCGGCAGAAATAAGGCCATTGGGACATTGGGCTACTCAAGATGGCGCAGACAAATCAACTTCCGGTGAGACCGAGACCGAGGAGCGAGGAAATGAAAAATAAGAGAAGTGAGAAGGGCCCACTGAGTAAAGAGTAAAACTAG